ACTAGTTGAATATTTTATTTATGTTTCAACGCCAATTAGAACCTCTAAATATACTCAACAATAACTTCACTTCTGAAAGGACTTATCTCTATTTGATATATTTTATTACTACCAGGTCTCTTATTTTATTAAGAAGATGTCCCTAATACTTGATTGTTAATTTGATGCAACATTGCCAAGAAAAAGCTATTTTCACTTGAAAACATAAGATTTTTCAATCCAATATAAATAAATCAGCATTGAATTAGAAATTGATGAACTATTTTGATTTAATTTAAGCACTATAGAAAAAATTCGTATATTCTACAAATTCATGTTTTGTACATGATATACAGTAGTATTCATATCATTCTAAATGATATACAACAGTATTTCTCCATTTCCAAGATTTACAATTTAACTTTATGCCTGTACCCATTTACGTGTCTTCAAATATCTTTATCAGAAGAGCATAAATTGATAAGTGATTAAGTGACTATTGTAATAGTATCTATTCTTACGTCAGTGTTTTTTTTTCACTAAAACTTCTGTTCACGTTTTTTCATATATTCTATCAATAATAAATAGTTAGGATTAATTAATTAATTCAATCATCTAATTGAGTAGTTTTGAGCATACCCACGCCGCGTGCCAAGGTAATATGTAATATATCACGAGATTTTGCTTCAACAATACAACATTAAAATATTTCGACTCCCATTACAATGTAATGGGATTCAGAAACATTAATTTGGCATTACAAAGTCGAAGGTAATTACGAATTTTATGACAGTTTTGAATTTATTTGTTATCTTTGTTTATAATATGTTCAATAACAATGTGTTTAAGAATTGATTTATTAACATTAATAAAATACATGCAATTGTAATTGAATGATTAATTGACCGAGTTATCTGATAAGGGGATTTGTGAGAAGCAAACATAGCTGGTATATGCTTTTAAATTGCGCAAAATTAAAGCAAATTAAGAATAAAACACGTTAATTAAATGATAAAAGAATAAATAATATTTTTAGCAGAGACGATCTATGAAACATAGTATCATAGTATTGTAAACTATTGGTGTAGATATTAAATTATCAATGCTATTGAATGAAATCAAATGAAAACACAGATATGAATACATAATCAGTTACTAATTAATTTAACAAATTAGTTCAATAACTAATATTTATCTTACTCGTATTATTTTATTAATTAGTATTTGAGATAATGTGTTTTAATTACCTTTACAAATAAAATTCGATCAAATAGTTTTATATATGTAGTGGGTGGTATTTGATTATTTTTTTAGGGAGATACATAAAAAACGAAGATCCCAAACGTTTCTACATACAATTTAATACCATAATGAGTGGATATAGAAATTGGTATCTTACATCAAAAGATATGATACAGCACAAAATTTGGTACTAACATTAATACACTAATCTATCAATAATCATGAGATTTTTATTCTTAGATGATACCAATTTCTATATCTACTGATGAAATATATATACTAGCTGATCCGGCAAACGTTGTTTTACCATATAACGTATTTGTAAACAATTTCTAGAGAATGCAAAAAATTACTAATTTATAGTAAGTGTATAAAGATGTATTGTATTGTGTGTATTTTCACATTCTAAAAAAGTCGATAATTTGAGTTTCTAATAACATTTGAGACCCATCATTCAATAATGTTTTTGTGTATAAATAACTGTAGCTAGTATACTTGCTATAATTAAATAATATTCATCCAAAACATCCTATTAAATTTATTCGAAAATAACCTTTAATTCAAAAACGCAGTCGATTGTTTTATTTTGAATTAAGCTTCTACAAAAAAAATTAAAAATGTAAAGTTTCTACGTGGTTTATAAATAAAGTCGCACCTTTCCCACAGCCTCTGTATTAGCACAAATATTTGAAGACTAAAACTGGCCAAATCGGTTCAGCCATTTTCGAGTTTTAGCGATTCTAACATAATATCGAACTCCATTATATATAAGAAGATATATAAATTTTCAAATACCATGTTTTTAATAGATTATTGAAAAAAAACCGTATTATTTTGTACACGATTCAGTGTTTAGTTATTTTATCTAATACATTCTATCGTTTAGTTCACGACGACACAATATTAAGTTACTTTGTGTTTAATGTTTACAAATAGAATTAGCCATCACTTCTATTTATACGAACACCTGAAAGATTCACATCAAGAGTAACTTGAATTTGAATAACAATATCTATATTCTAGGTCATTTTTACCAAAACAAATTTTACTATATGTAGTTGATACAAATAATCAAATAAGAGTTTGTATATCAATTTTTTGTTATCTCAATGTGGAAAGATAAATCTACGAATACATATAAAAAAACATTCACAAATAGTGTATGACATCAAACACACCCACAAATGATAAAATGAAATAGCCCACTGGAGACAAATTTTGAAAAATAAAAAAACAAGGTGGAAATTTTTAAGATATGTATTGTAGATAAAAAAACATGTTGTAAGAGTTGTAAATGATTACATTTTGATATAAATTAACTGCACTGTTACAAGTATTTAATCAAATAGTGAAAAATGAGCACATAGGTGCTTGTTAATATATGCAAATTAATAATAAAGTTCTTCTGATAAAATGTAATGAAACAATTATTCAAAGTAAATTACTAGATGGTTAATTGCAAAGCAATAATATTGAGAAATAAATAGTGAAAAACGTGCTGAAATACCTGATAGAAAATGTTTTATAGAGTACTGGTCAAATTCAAAGCGGAAAATAAGAACTAAATTGCAGATATTTTTAATATTAAAGATTTTAAAAATAAAATTAATACAGAATTATATCGTTCTAACATAGAATATATATATCCTATGAGCTACAATTTTTGCACCATGGTAAAATTGGAAGTTTTTAAAAAACCTAAAAAGCTTTTTTTGATATTGAAGATTTGCTGGATTTATAAATAACAAAAATTACTTTCATCATTCCTATCAACAATGATTACTTACAGACTTATTTTAAGAATAAAAATTCAATATTAGTTCGTGCCATTAAGGAATATTGAAATTTGGATTAAATAGAGGCACAGTGAGAGATAATATGTACTCATACAATTTAGGGCTTGCCAATTATTATGTAAATTGCTTTAAACTCAGAAGTTCAAAATAACCCATATGATATCTTCCTGGGAAGATAAAGAGCACCCTGACACAATGTTAAACATAAAAGTAACATTTATATCAACTCACCGCACATCTGCATACAACATCGGCATCCAGTGCAAGCATGTCGACAACTTTTCCTTTTCCTTCATCGCCCCATTGAGCCCCCAGGACGACTGTCACTTTGGCGGCGTCCTGCCGCGATTTTTTTCGCGGAGTCACCGTATGATTTGAATTTAAATGATTCGTAGACATTTTGTACAAATGCAAATTTTAAGTCTTTTAGAGTAGCACTAGATAACCGAATATTATAAGTTATACATGGGAACGTGTTGCGCAAACACACAACCTCAAAAGGCAAAGATACCAGAACAGCGAACACTGACGCAGACGCACGCTAACGAAACGAAACGCCAGTACTCGTGATATCGTGCTAAAAAAATATACAAAAGTGTTGCCATAGGTGGAACTTGAGCATTTTCGTTCGCGGCATTCATCGTAGACACGAACAGAATGAGGTGTGAATCTAAACTACATTACACCCATAGATCAGGGCTTCTTAAACTATGGGTTGCGACCCCAAATGGGGTCATGTAAAAAAATTTTGGGGTCGCAAAAGATTTTAATGCCATTTTATTCATTTTATTACATCACGCCTTGATTTTTTATCAACAAATTCTTAAACATATATATTTTCATATTATATGTATATGTATATTGTTACCAAATAAATAAATCATTTAAATTTTTTTTTATTTATTTAAAATCATTAAAATAAATTAAAACATGTTTTTATATGTGTAGGGTCGTCAACAAACTCGCAATCATAAATGTGATCGTGAAGGACAGAAGTTTAAGAAGCCCTGCCATAGATAAATAAGCACAAATGTTTCCTTATCTATGCATAAATGATTAAATCATTGGCCGCAATTGGCCGCATTGGCCATATATTTCTATGTTAGAACCAGTTAGAACCAATATAATATAATATTAATTTTAATTTTAAAATTATGAAATATTAATAACTATAAAAACATTCGTATTTTACGGTCTAAAACTTTGGCCAGCACATTTAATTAAATAAAAAAAATTATTATGTGTTTCGGCACGTTTTTCACTATTTAATAATCTCATAATTAATTTCTTTTAAATTAATTGCGTCATTACATTATTAACATTGCAGTTAGTTATATCAAGATGTTTTAGTTTACAATCTGAGAAGAAAATCTCTTTTTTGCCAAAATTTTTGAAAAAAAAAAAACACTTTTTCTAGAAACCATAGACCCATAGATAAAAGAAGAGTATAGTATGCATAGACCTAAACTTTTTTCTCAACAAGCCAAAAAATTTTAAGATTTTGTTCCTGATAAGCCAATATACTGCAAATGTATCGTTTGCGTCGATCACTTGTGACTGACATGGCATTCTAATAAATTGGGTACGACAGACATTTATGTCTGACATATTTCATACAAAGCACCAAAAACATGACTCACAAGGCAATTAAGGCATTAAATATATTTCCATATCATGTTCTTTATTGAAATATATAATATACATGTTATACAATATATAATAATATAAAATTTATTTATATAGTACGTGATTATATTTTGGCTTTTTAAACAATAATTACTTTGTAAATTCTATAATACTAATACAAGAAAACAAAAAAAATTAAAATTTAATTAAAGATATATATACTTAATAATTAGAAATAATACGTTTTACAATCAAATTCTATAACTTGATTAAATATATTTTTAAACAATTTTTTGTTCTAAACGATTATGTGAATGTTTAAAATATTTAATAGATGCTTAATATTTAAAATAAAATGCATGCATTTATTCCTTTATAAAATTTGAATGATTAATTCTAGAATATAATATTTGTAGGTAAAATATAACTCTGAATGCACTTTTTATCTTTATATGGCAGGAACAGAATGATCCATAGATGTTTTCAATAAGCTAGGTGCCATTCTACAAAAATTATATATTATCATTATAGATTATCGTATGTTTTTACCCACTTTTTTGTAATATAAGAATTACTTACTTCTTAACCATATGTTCATACAAATATGTTGGTATGATAGTGATGGTCACATTTTGTGCAGCTTTATCAATGATTTTTGTTATTTCTTTATCTTTCAAACCAATAACATTTTGGCCATCAACTTCCAAAAGTTGGTGATTTATCAGAACACCATTTCTAGCAGCAGACGAGTCCTTAACAATGCTCGTTATTTTACCATTTTTGAACTGAAAACCAATAGTATTTGCGGAATCCTTGTGCAAGGTAATAGTCCTTTCAAATGGTCTAAAACAAAAAGTTTTTAGTGTGCAATGTACTTCATAATTGAAGAAACCAAAGGCTTACCTATCTCTAACAGCAACATTTATTCCATTTACTGGACACTTCTTAAAAATACCATGTACTTTGTCCATGTTATAACCAGCAACTGATTGCCCTTGAATTTCCAGTATTTGATCACCAAAACGTAATCCTGCAAGTGCTGCTGGTGAGTTTGGAGTAACCAATGCAATAAATACTCCTTTATCAATGCAGTTCACACGTAATCCAATCTTGTTGTCTTTATCTTTGCAAAGAACAACCTATGAAGTAAAGATAAATAAAAAATATGTAAAAATGTAAAAAAAATATTGAGAATAATTATTACCTGCCGTATACCATGTGTAACTTGAGCTCGTTGTAAGCCAAGTGAACTTCCAGATAAAGGAGCAATCATACCAGAGGTTCTATTGAAATTATTTGAATTCTGCAAGTACAGAATAAGACAAAAAACAACAAATTTTAGATTTTTCCAAGCATAAACAATTTTTATTTTCCCAAACTGTATTAAAATTTTACCTGAGGTACTGCAACATTATTTGCAGCTGCGGGCACTACAGCATATTCTGGCATATTTGCAGCAACAATTGCTTCTGATAATTCAAGGCCCATAAACTCAGATAATCCAGGATACATGACGCTTGAAGGAGCATTTCCATAAGGCATATCTCCGGAAGCCTGTGATGGATAAGGTGGTGGATAAAGTTGCTGTGGTGGTGGAGCACTAGCTTCTGGCATTAGCTTTTGCTGAGCCACCATCATGTGATCAACTTTCATATCTTCGAGAGAAGGGTACAAAGCCATGGTCTAAAAATTAAAGAAATATTATCATACATGACTAACAAATTCATACAAACATAAGGTGAATGAAAAATATTTTTTAATAATAATTGATAATAAATAACTGAAAGTAAGCACATAAGTGTTTTTGTAGTAATAAATTGTACTTACTAAATCTTATCAAATTACTTGCAAAAAACTAAATAGAATTGACAGTTCTACAGCTTATTTCTGATTTAAAAGTGATTAATATAGATATATATTTAATCTTTGAAGTGAGTCATGCAAGTCTCGAATGGATGACAGAAACAACCAGTTTTTTGTTAAATAAACAATATGCAGGGATTTCCAACAACGTACAAGCCTACAAATGCAAATACAAATTGTTATCAATCAGATACTACCAAAGAGCTAAGATATGTCATCTGTCAACTGTCAACTGTATATTGAGCACGTGGTATTCAGATAACGCGGTCTATTTGAAAATTATAAAAGCTTGGTAACAATTTTTATATATAATATGCTACGCTATATAATTAAATCCTATAAACATAAACTGCATATCTAATATTCATCTAAAGCATATAAATAAATTCAAACTAAGTTTATTAAAATCGAAATATTGCTTTTGAATATAGCGACCATCCATCAACCATCTATAAGAACATATAAATTATATTCTCATATTGTCTAGGAGCATATTAGTATATTGTCTAGGGTCTAGCTTGACTCTCACCAATTTTTGTTTTTATATTTTGTTTTTAATCATGATACATATTTCGGCAAAAAAATGAAAAACGATTATAAATATGCCTTGAACATTCTACCCATATTTAAAGTCAACTGAAAAACGGGCACATGATAGTTCCAAATTATACGTAAAAAATTTAAAAATTTGTAAAAAAAATAGGTCGATCAAAATGTATAACTTTATTATCCTGAAAATTACTTCGAATCCACTATTATTTATTGAAATTGCGGTATTAATTATAATGTCACTAATTGTTGCTTTTCCATTATGGATATATGAACTTTATCAAGTTGAAAAAAACTGGATGGAAGCGGAAAAAATCAGCACAACTTCAATAAATGGTATTATAAAAATTTAAGTTTTTTTTTTCAGATAATTTGTTTCCGACTATGATATTTTTATACCATTTATCAATTGTAGTTTCTGAACAATCTTGTGAAGTTGAAAGCATCAATCAATGTACTTTTGATCTGCACAAGACTCCTATGCATAGATTTCGAAGGGCATCAGAAAGTTCTTTGGAGAGTGTAAGTTATTCTGAAATATATTATTTGGACGATCAAATGTACAATACAGAAGAGATCGTAGAAATACAGAAAGTATCTGAAAGTAGAAGTGATGCCAAAATTGATGAGGTCATTGAAGTTAAAAAAGGTAATAATCCAATAAATATGATTTATATCATTTTGAGAATGTTTTACATTATGCATCAATTTCACAAGTTACCTAAGGATAGAATGATTCCATCATAAATACTAGGTATGACTTAAAACCTTTCAGACTGTATTACTGTAAAATATAAAAACAAACCAATTTCAAATTCGACTTTATAAGAGATATTGTACAGGTATGCTCGCAGACTTTCCTCACGTGACGCCCTTACCAAGAAGATCGCGATTGGCAGAACCCTCAATTGTATATAAACTTTACGACGTTATTAAAAGTTCAGTTATAAGTGAATACCAGCCTTTAACTATTAATTTATTTCAAACTAATATAACGGAAGTGGACCTTCATGTCGATATTGATTCCCGAATTCCAACATCTCTGAAAGATTTGCCATCAAATGATTTTGAGAAAAACACAAAAGATAATTATATTACTCGCCAGTTAAAGTTAATATGCAAGGACAGTGGTGATACTTTGGAAGGAGACTTTTTTAAGTCGAAGGTCCCAAAGAAAATACCAGTCAAATCTAGCCAATCTAACAAGGAATTTAACGGTATACCATTGCAGTTGGGAGCAGTTACTAATCTTCTAAATAACCAGATCTTTTCTGGACAAACTATTACAGAAAATGCCTTTTCTTTGGTCAAAATTTTGCAGAATTTTGCGAACGCCGAACGAGTACACAAAATAAGAACAGTTGGACACCATCAACCACCTGCACAAAGAACTAACAACTTGACTGTTGATAATCATAGCAGCTATTTCGCAAGAGGTTTCTTCACACAATTAAATAGAAATAATATTCCTACTACCATTATTGCAAGGCCTTGTCCAAATGTACTAACTGTTCGAAGACAAGTTCGAAATGTGCCAACAGTTCAAGAACTGAACAATAATGTAAGACATAGTATATCGAATCCAAATCCGATACAGAAAAGATCCCAATCAAAAAGTGGGCTAACAAGTTACGTTAATCTGGGATTTATGTGTCGATAAATAAAAAGATCATAACAATGTTGTAATTTAAATTCATCATTAATTGAACGAAAGATAAGGTGCGCGTGAACAGCAATGGATTCACCTTCAATATTATATTTTAATATTTTATTGCCTGGAAACTACTTCTGCCCGTTTGTATAATTTATAAAATTTATAATAGTTTATATGGTTTTTAAAATTTATAAAAAAAATAAAAATATAAAATCTATATGGATATGTTTTAATTAACAAATATTAGTTTACAATAATTATAATTGATAATAATCGATTTGAAAAACTTAGAATAAAAATAAATAATACAAACACATCCTTGTCATAAAATTTATTTATGATAAAAGATATAAAAATATTAAATGATGATATTTCTTATGAACATGAATTTAAGAGAAAGCTAACGTCGTCATTTACGCACAGTTCACGAGCGGGTATATTTCTAGAAAAGAAATTAATAAATAAAAGAAATGTTTATAAAATTTACAAAATAAACTAACTATTAAACATTTATTCACCGTTCAAATAATCTTGCACCTTTGATACCCCGCAGAAATGCTTTGTTCTCACTCACTTCTAACATGCAGCCTTCCCGTAAGCCCAAAACATTGTGAGACTCTGGTTGTTCTAAGTATTCACCTAAGAACATAAGATTATATTATTATATTTTCTTCAAAATATTAAGTCGAAATATATATCGTTTTTTACCGATTCGATCTTCACGCGTTTCTCCTTTATGGGTGCTTAATGGATCTGCATCGATATAATGGGGATTTATATTAAATGGAATTAATTCTAAAGCCTTGAAAGTCGGTGGATAAACAATTGGCATATCGTTAGTTGTGTTAATACTAATTGTGGCCACATTTGTACCGGCACTGCTACCCATGTAGGGCATACCTATCAATTAATATACATGAATGATATAATTACTTAATTAATCATGGTCCTTAATTTAAACTAACCGTCCTCGTGTACACGTTTTCGAATCGGACATATCAATGATTTGTCATAGAGAGTTTTTAGTAGCTGAAAAGTGTTTCCACCGCCGATAAAAATTGCTTGAGCATTTTCTACAGCTTTTACAGGATCGCTAAATGTATGAATACCTTCAACTTCAAAGTTCAATGTATTTAGGGCTTTAGCAACAGTGTCCGTATATGCGTCATGATCTTTCATGGCATATGGTATGAATAAGATTTTTTCGACATTGCATCTAGAAAATAAAAATTAACAAAACTTCAAAATACACCAAAATACAAAATATATTTAGAATAACTTACGGTTTCAATAATTTTATTATTTCATCTCTTGCATAAACTAAATATTGATGTCCATGAACACTAGAGGATGATAAAAGTAAAAGGCGCCGACGGGACATTTCTGTTATAAAATAATCACAGAGTCCAGCTGTTAAATATTTCCATTAGTATCAATTGGGATTTATATTACTGCTGAACGACAAACGTTGATTGTATTGTTGAATTAAGATAATCATATGATGTATTAATATAATCTAATCTAGCACAATTGGAATGGAATACATCAATCATCCTTATCTCAATAAGCAGTGAAGTACAAAAATATTTGTAAGCTTGAATAATATATTGATGAGTTAAAGATCAATGTTTTATGTAATCTAATATTAAGAAAAATAGTATTATAAATTCTCCAGGTTTATAATAATAATGATAAAATTTAATAAGAAAACGTAATTTAAAAAATAATTAAGATAAACTACAATCAATACAAAAAATAATACCTTCATGCTTACATCAAGTACGATTATTTGTGATATATCTTCTAAATTTCTGAAATAACCAGTTGATGAACAATTAACTAATTTATTAACAAAAAATTAACTAATTACTTTTCTCATTTAAAATTAATTTTATGGTGCAATTTTAAATTGCCCGTTTGTATAATTTATAAAATTTATAATAGTTTATATAGTTTTTAAAATATAAAACCTATTGGATACGTCTCAATTAATAAATATTTGTTAACAAATAATCTATCATATATGACAGATTATTTGTTAACAAATATTTGAAAGCATAAATTTATGCTATATAATTTTAAAAATATTCTTAATCAACTATTAAGACAACAAAGTTTGATATAATTTAATTTGGACATGTATTCATAATCTTAATTGTACAAATAGTAATATGAATCAAAATATTCAGATTAATTATTGGTCTTAAAAATAAAATAAGTGAAAAGCCAACTTGTAACTAATTTTGTTTATAAGAAATTATTGAAGTTATATGTCTTTTTAATCAATAATTTAGTACTTCAACAGTAATATTAATAAGCATTAACAATTCGCTCATATTATTTGTACTGACTAGCAAGAAAAGCTCAAATTAAAAACTTAATAAACTATGGGCAAATCTAAATTGATAGGACTCAGGAGATAGAATTAATTACCATTAATTATTATATTGTCTAGGATTAATTACCATACAGAAAGACCACAAAATAATCTGATTTTGAACGCCTTAACAAGCTCAAATTAATAATACATTATACACAAACAAAATATACTTACATGCAAAAGCATACATTATAAATGCTTATTTATGGAATTACAATTGGAAATTTAAATAAAATGAATCTAAATATTTAATGGTAAATATAAAACTGGACTTACAACAGTACAGGATCTGTCACTTTGACATATTTTTTTGTGTTTTATTTTTCAAAGATATATCACAAAATTATAATACATAATAATAAAAATACTATTAAAAGTAATAATGAAATACCTTTTAAAATATTTATTCAAATTTATTTTACTTATTCACAATTCTAACCTCTTTGACTTCAATTTGACAGTTAACACATGTACCAACTGTTGGTATCTGACAGCAACGGGTAGTTGTCATTTGTCATTTGTTTTTTTCATTTTCTCAAGTTTACAAATCTGGTTTTGGTATTTATGTATTGGCATTTTTGGATTACTTGTTATTACAAAAACACAAATTGTTCTGTATAATTTTTCTAATAAATTTGTTGCATATTTTATAAATATATATAGTATTTAAGTCTGTGATATATATAAAATCAGTTGTTATTAAAATATTTCCTGTACATACTTAACCGAAAATGTCAAACAAATTTGAAGCGTAAGTTGAAAATATGCTTATAATTAATAATTTATAGTTTTAATTAATGCTGTGCATATCTGAAAAATCTATGTCCATGATACTTGTGCTTTCACAAAAATATTTAGCTCCTGCTCTTAAATCTGGTGCAACATATGATAATCTTCTACCTGAATTCATTTTTAGAACAACGGCTAGTTTTAATTGTGTTTTCAGTCATTTCATACCATTTGTTATTTTATTATTATAAGTTTGTGTTGAAATCGTATTTTAGTCTCAAGACACAAGTTGAAAGTGGTGACGATAGTGGAAGTGGCGATGAGGACATTGGAGGTTATGTTGTAAATCCAGATACTCTGCCCCCTTTAGAAATTCCGCCCACTGAACATAAATTACAATATCCATATTGGTTGTGGTTCTCAAGATACACCAAAAGTGCAGCACGATTAAATTCTACACAAGGTTATACACAGGTAAGCAATGATTTTTAAGTTAAAACCTACATAAAACTTTCGACCAAAAACGTATGAAGAATAAACAAGAATAATATGAATATATCTCGTTAATATTTATGTTTAAATTTTGTTTATACTAAGCTAAGTATATGATTCTTCATGTCATAATAAGATACTCGATTGTCAATAGCTTTTTTGCTTGATCTTGAGATTTAGATTGCAATCATCAAATAGGTCTTCAATCAATTATGTAAAACATTACTCTGCTAGAGGTGCAAGGTATTGGCAATAATGTTTGTCAGTGTAAGAATAATGATATTTTTCTCAAAATCGTTTGTGCAAAGTCATAATTTTTTTCACAGTGAAATTGTGTTTAAAGTTTTTTCACATCACGTTTAATATTAATGTTAGTGAGCAAAGCAGTTTGAATTTCAATAGACAAATAGGTATGCAATTGTTTTTAAATGAAAATAAGTCTGCATATTATAAATATATTACTACATTTATATACAATATTTACTTTTTATACCATTTCATAGTCATTTTACATTTCAGGCACTACGTTTAGTTGGACGTTGTGGGTCAGTTGAACAATGGTGGTCCATGTATTGTCATTTAGCTCGTCCTAGTGAATTACCACCTACGACAGATTTACATTTATTTAAAAGTGGTATTAGGCCTATGTGGGAAGACCCAGCCAACACACGTGGTGGTAAATGGGTATGTATATTACAGAGTACTATTTATTTGGGTTATTTTATTTATAATTTGTCACTAAATATTTCTGAATATGGAATTAGATAAATTTAGCATATTTTGACTATATATTGAAATAGATCTCAAACATTTCTCCGGATTTCTCTCTTTCTTCTATCCTTATGAGCAACTGTGAAAGAATTTTAATTTTTACAGGTAATTAGGTTAAGAAAGGGTCTTGCAGGCAGAGCTTGGGAAAATCTATGTATGGCAATGCTAGGAGAACAATTTATGGTTGGTGGTGAAATTTGTGGTGCTGTTTTGTCAGTTCGGTTTCAGGTGCTGTATATTTCATTTTCAATTAAATATAAACTTGCACATATTGTGAATTGTGAATATTTTTTAATTCTTCAAATAGGAGGATTTAGTATCTTTATGGAATAGAACTGCAACAGATCAAACCAGTGTAGCCCGAGTTCGAGACACATTAAAGCGGGTATTAAATTTACCTGCCAATGCAAATATGGAATACAAATCACATGGAGATAGTTTGAGGTAGTGCATATTTTATAGAAAAAAATTAAATGACTTTTACAATATACTAAAACAATATATTTTTGCAGGGCTTCTAAAGTTATATCAACAGTTGTAAAGAGCTGAATTGTACATAAATAACAAAATAAAAATGAAAATTATTTTATTGCATTGTTTTATTCTCTTTATTATTATACAATATTTAATTTATTTTGTTTGTTTTTATAAAAGTGATACTATATTTTTATAGTATCTTTATAATACATATGACTGCAAATGTTTTTTATTGATTTGTTTAATTTGAATTGAATAATATATTTAAAACGTTTAACTTGTAATAAATATGATTATAGTTATAGAAGTATAAATAAATAATAAGGATTACACAATCAAATAAAACATTTATTTAATAATAGGTACATATTTGAGCTCGATAATCCTGAATACATCTATAGGATTGCAGTATAATTTGAGTACAGTTTTATTGAATTTGATTTAAATACCAAGGGAAACAAAATATATTTTTCATATAGCAAAACGTTACGAAAACATATTTAAAAAAAAATCAGACTAAAATACTTCAGATGTGAAAGAGTATGTCCATGAATGTGAATTACAATTAAACAGATAATCAATATATTAATACAATAACATAATACTAGTATCGTATATCCATAACAAACGTTTCTTCATTTTCTGACTATGCTACAGTTCCTATAATTTTTATAACAGTTTATATGAGAAATTAAATTATAATTAATGAAATATTTTGTTGTCAATATTATCACTGCATGATCTATTCTACATTTGGTCCACATAGAAATTGCAAGTACATTAGTAAAGTGCAGTTGTTTACAGAGATACATCAAATCATACTTCTCTACAGATACCTCATTTGTGCTTATATAGTATAATATAAATAATTTAATTTTATATTACTTGAAATATATTATTAAAAAATTATGTTATATAACTTTATAAATGTATCACTTGAGAATGTTATTTATTATAATAATTAAATCAATACAATTAAATTTTAGTTATAATTTGAAGTGTTTAACATTATTGTAAGTCAATAGAACTATCTATAACTCTTTTTTTAATTTTTATAAATTATTTTTAATAAGAAAATATATAAGTCATTGTTTTCATATAATATAAATGTTTTAAATCTATATATTTCTGAATCTAAATCCGATCTATACTACTACTTATATACAGTAACAAAACAGCTTTTCTCATTATTTTCACCAAACACCAATCTGAAATAAAATGTAGTAATTAGTAGTATTCGTAATTATCATTTATATTATATTTTTCATAATTGGTAGTTTTATAATTGTAATACGAACGATGAACGATAACTGTTAATATTTCAAATCGGTATCAAAATAAAATTTAAAATAATACAATGATTCTCAATATTATATCCGTCATTTTGTATTTCAAATTTTTACAAAATATGTTGTTGGGAAAATTCTAAACGCAGCAATTAAAAAATGCGATCTAGTTTCAATAAGAAATGATTCCTAAATAAATAATTTTGCTAATAAGAAATATATGTCCGCAACGAATTTGAGTTTTTTAGTTTATGACCATAGTTAGAGTTAAGTTTTAAAATAGGTCGGCCAAATCATTGATATATGCCTTTGTTCTTGGATCTTGGATGTAATAAACTCGACTTGAAAGCATAGTGGCCTCGCAACTGACCCGGAAGTGATGCCATCAATACGGACTACGGATTTAGGAGTGTTTTTGCTATATTCTATAGTATAAGAAATAGAGAAAATAAAGAAAAAATTATCTCACAAAAGAAAATTACCTACTTAGAATTCTTGTACAACAAAATTGTGTTCGAGACTATATATTGCGTTTTATCTAACATATTATTCAGAACAAGCTAAATTAGAATTTAGCTTGTTCTAAATAATATATAAAATATGTTGTATTATGTATATAATAATATATGTTCTATAATAATAAAAATTGTACTGCTCTAAATAAATTTAAAGCGTAATAAGTGAGTGGTTATTATAATGATCATTAATAACCACTCACCTATTACGCTTTAAATTTATTTAGAGCTAAGTAACTATGATTTTTAGAATCATGTCATATCTATTTGTTAGGAAGATGTTACAAAAATCTTGGAAATATTGAAATCATTTCCTTTTCTGTCTAAACAGAATTGGCGATGGTACCGTAAAAAGATTATTGTGCGTCCTCTTGTAACAACCAAATTTTTGCTACAATAACAATTATATAATAAATTTAATATTTGTTAGACAGTTGCTTATATTGTCATATTATTAACTATTTTGGGACTTTGTGCTTCTTGTCCAGAGTACACCATCAGATATGGTGTTCATAATCGACCGATCTGACTGAAGTGCAATTTAATTTAAGAAGACGCGAGAGAATGTTATAGTTTATATCCATATGCTTCTTCATTGTTATGGCATATTAATTAAATTGAAAAAAAAATGTTTCCTTTCTTGAAATTCTTATTCTTCCCGAAGGAGAAGTTTATGTTTTCATAAAAAATCCGATTTGCTATAATTTTATGTTTACTCGACGTTTCAAGCCATTCTGAATCGAATGAGACCAAATTTGGAAAAAGTATGTGTGTGTGTGTGTGTGAACAGATTTTTTGCCGTAAATCGACGTTTTCTCAAAAACGGCTGGACCAATTTCAAAAATTTAAAAGCCAGAGATGTATCTCGATGAGGACTATTGTTTATCAGTTTTGTGTGACGATCGGCCGAGCGGTTACTTTGTAAATCGCAGAAAAGTGAAAAATTTTTCGTCCACGTTTTAGCCCGCAATTCTGAATCGATTTTGAAAATTCAAAAACTGTTCGAAACATAATGGTTGGGAATCGACCTAATTAGTTTTTGGTAAAGATTGGCCGGGCCGTTTTCTTGTAATAAGGTGTTAAAATTTTTTTTTTCGACGATTTACATGAATTTTTTTTGACGGTAGATACCATAGTCTTCTAGAATCTATCTATCATACTAGAATATTACGGTCCTACGACAAATCGTTTAATTTTTAAAAATCGTCAAAGTTTGCAAAAATTAGAGTCGTTTTTTTGGCGTTTGTCAAAATTATAATTTTCATCGCCGTTTGCTCAAAAACGCCTGAACCGATTTCAAAAATTTAAAAGCCAATCGATGTATTTTGATGTGGATTATTTTTTCTCAGTTTTGTACAGCGACCGGCCGAGCCATTTCTCTGTAATTTGAAAAAAAAGTGTTAAACTTTCCGTCCTCATTTAAGCTCATACTACCGAATCGATTTTGAAAAATCAAAAACTGTTCGAAAGATATTAGTTTGGAATGATACTGATCAGTTTTAGGTAAAAATCAACCGAGCCTGTTTCTTGTAATTAACTGTTGAAAAACAAATTCAAGCCGATTTTCATGGAACGTTTTTTGGCGATATATATATCATGGTCTTATAGAACTTACTGAAATATTACGGCCTTACGACAAGTAGTTTAATTTTAAAAATTCATCAAAGTTTGAGAAAATATTTTCTCATATGAGTAGTTTTTTTGACATTTGTTAAAATTAAAATTAGACGATTTACTTGGTATAACGATAGAGTACTTGGTCTTAATGAACATGGTAAGCAATTAAAGTCCTACAAAAAACTGGCTTAATTATAAAAATTATTGATTTTTGAAAATTTGTAATAAATCCACTTCGAATACTTTTTACTACTCATAAATTAATTTATCTATTATGGATTAAGTCGATTATATACACAAATCGGAAAGTTCATGTAACTTGCTTCAAGGCAAAATACCAATACCAACTAGTTTTTAATAGTCATTTTCCTGTATTTTTTATTTGCGTATTTTAAAAACGCAAATACTCATTTTCAAATTTTGATTTACTTATACATGATTGAACATTTAGCTTCTTCCAACTTCTAGTTATATAAAGAGTTTGTAGCCAATTAGAAATTATAAACAATGATTATTAAATTTTTCGTCGATTTCAACATATTTTTAGAACATGTTGATTTATTTATGTGATATATCATATGTATAATTTGCATATTATCATATTTTATTTTAACAAGTGCTTGTCAAAAATGGCTACACCAAATTTTGCGCGAACTGTTTCCATCTTAATTGATTTATTCCAATCGCGAATACACACCGCTGTTTTCAAATGCACCCTGTTTGATATCGTGATTACCATCGGAATTTTATTGGTGGTCAATTTTGATTCTGAATGTTTAGATTTGTGGTTCAGAAAAGTGTCAGTTTATTTTTGCGACCGTATATGGATATTAGTCACTTTGCAGACCTTAAATATACATATTATAGGTCGTCACTATAATAAATTATTTGGCAATGCTGATCAAAAACTTACCCATCCGAACTGCCACGAAAAACTGAGCGTTAAGTTACGACGTGTATTTTCCAGAAATGAAATGTTTTCTACTTTATTGTTTACGGTTTATGCCAGTATCAAGTTTGCTATTGCAAAAAATATGTTTCAGTATCTTTTTGATATGAAACCTTTGGAAACATATATGATGTTCAAAGGACCTTTTATTGGTGAGTTAAACATGATAAATAGAGATAGACCAAACTATCATTGTAATATATTTAAATGATTTATACGCGCTCTAGATAATATTTTCTTATATCTTGCTATGAAAATGTTTTTTTATACGGAGTTATATGTACTAAAAGTACGGAATGGTGCTACATTATTAAGATGAGATCGATTAAATAAATTGGTACAGAGTACAGTGTTTTATCATTTTATTAAGTGCTGTACAACTTCCATCTGCTAAAAATCAAGCTGGTATAAAATTTTGCATATCATTAAAAATTCTATTTTTTTTTCTTGCATATCATAAATAATTTATAATTACATGGTACTTCCTGCAGTCAAGGCAGTGTACTAATCGTTTTTTTGCGGAAAATGTAGAACGCGGAAATAAACCATGCTCATTTCATTATTCATAAAACAACGGAATTCTGTCCTTTTTCTTTTTTGTTTTCTCTTCATCTTTCTGGTGTTAGACCAGGTAAATGATGAATATATGCATTCATTATTCAGGTCAGGATTGATCCACCGGAATTCTGTTCAGTGCCACGGAAAAGTGTGTGAATAAGTTATAAGTACGACCAAAGAATGAATTTTCTTATGTTACGTGAGCACTATTTTGTCATATACTTTTATGTGACTTTGAGAAAACCAACAGTAATTTTGTAGATTAAATTTTTTGCACTCAAGTTGGACTGGTGTAAAGTTGTATGGTTTGTGTTATCTCGAACTACGTAAAATAGATCGTAATTTTTTATTAAGCAAGAAATAATTGAAAATATGCAATAGTGTGAAGTTTACATTTTCAGGATTTCATATTAGATCATGCATAGGTGAGATAATTAGTTAAAATCTCTACTTTTAACTGAGCTTCAACTGTTTTCTTTTAAATAACATGAACTTTGAAGAAAATAAAATGCGAAGAAAATATAATACTTAGAGCAGTAGCAAGAGCATTGTAGCCACAATGCTCTCGCATGAAGTTTACTATGATATATCATGCAGTATAGTGATATATATTTTAACATTTCTGGAAATATAGATCAGAATTATTTCTCTAATTGATAGTAGTTCTTTTGGACATTTGCTATAAAATGGCAACAAGAAATCTCTCGCAATATTTATTTCTGATTCAAGTTACATTTAGCTCGTGGACCTGCTGCTGGACTCAGCATACCCATTTATGGTTTCATCCACATTATAATATAGAACTTATCTTAGTTTATTAACTTTCCGTAGAGCAAGTTATAGTAATCGCAAAAAAATCTAACATGAAAATTTTTATATATCTTTACGTTTCAGAAGTTTCTGAACATTTTGGCACACCTTAGAAAAAATGTATGTATGTGTGTGTGTGTTTGTGTGTGCGTGTGTGTGTGTGCTCGAATACAAATTTTCGTCGACGATTTCGGGAACACGGATGAAGCGATTTGAATAATTCAAAAAACATTCGATTCGTATTGATAAGGAGACGTGCTGATTAGTTTTTGGCAAAGCCAGGTCTAGCCGTTCCGAAGATATAGGGCAAAAAGTGCCAAAAACGGTAACTCAATTTTTAAGAGAACGGAGCGTCCGAATTGAATAATTAAGGCACGATGCCATGCGCCCCACTAGTTTTATTTTTATATATGAGATACGTTGGATTACGTTTTTATTTCATTTCGAAACAGGTGTTTAGTTTCAGAGAAAACTAATTTTTATTTTACTTCCAGGTGCTTGCTACAGTGTATGGAAATCCTACAGTGGTCAAAGAAAAAATCTCGAATTTCCTCTGTTAAACAGAACTATATCTGTTAGATTGATGAAACCAGATAACTCTGTATTTTTATGCTCTATCTACCAAGGAACTGCATTTTCGTTGCTTTATTACTTTTTATACTGCAGAGTAATTCAATATGTTGAGTGAGTACCGCAAGTTCATTATATTTCTTTGATATTATATATATATATATATATATATATATATATATAATAAAATAAAAATTCTAAATTCTATATATTATATATATATATATATATATATAATTAAAATTTATTAAATTAATTAAAATTTGAAAATCATTGCACAATATCGCATCAAAAAAGTTTGTCGCCTATTTTATTATTCTCTTCATCGCCATTTCATTTTTTTTGTGATATGTATAGTCAAAACTTTGAAACGGCTAAAAGGTCCGTTATAAAATGATTTTTACTGCCACTGAAGGTATGAAAACGAACGTTTATATTTTATTACCACTATATGAAAATATCTTGCCGTTGTAACTAAAACGTAAACATTTTTATTTTCTCGAAATAACTATTGTTATTATTTTGTATATGAATCTATTATGAAAACAAACCCCTTCTAAGCGTTCGTCGCAATTGAAAATAGAAATATTATTCACTTTTTTCATTATCTCAATGGAATACACAATACTTCTATGATTTCGTTGTTTCAATGAGTGAAGACTATGTACAATACAAAACCTAAACCTATTTTGTTCAGTCCTAGAAAAATGTAACAATTTTCAATACATTAGAAAACCGTGAGTATTCAGAGCTTTCTGTATATATGTTTTCGGTATGTACATAAGCTACATATCCGGAATTTTTCCGGTAGTTGTAAATCAATTACTTTTTAGTAACCTCCCAAAGCATTTGGTCACACACGTCCGGTGATAAATTCTAATTCTGAATGGGAGAGTAATTACAAAAAAACTGAGTCACGGAGTTTTATTTTTGCCAACACACTGCGGCTGCGTGATTTATGAACACAGAATCACCCAGAAGTTCAACTATGGAATAGAAGTCTCATTCTGTATTAGAGCTATATGGAAAATTAAAATAAAATTTCTATTTATCTGTAGGATGTTATTATAAAAAACCTTGAGATGATACAGCAATATCACTTTATATTTTTGGCTCAATTTGGTTTTGCTCAATATTAGTATTGATTTGAATTTTAATTGGTTTTAGCGATTTGTTTGACATGTTTTAAATTTATTACTCTTAACTAGACTGTTGATTTTACACTGCTTTATTAGCTAGCATTGAGTTCAAATATTTTATTGCATTACATCTATTACATTTTGTTAGTAACAAGTTGGCACGATTTTAATCCAATATCATAATTGCAATCACATTTTGCAACGTTGTGTGTTTTTCATCTCCGGATTATATTTTTTCATTCTTTCTGTGTCGTTTTATGCTACAGATATTAATTTTTCGAATGCACGTCGAAAATGAAATATAAAGTTAAACCTTCCAAAATAATAAAAATTCAACGCTAAAATTCTATTTGCATTCTCCAACTATATTTTCAAACTGAGCATATTTGAATATCTATTTTTAAAACTTTCAAACTCAGAATGAAGTTATATAAAATAAAATATGACGTCGTTTCATAAGCGATGGATGGATGGAACAAGTTATAATATTTCATCCCATTTATATTCTGAATTTGTCCTACGCTCTGTATTTTATCTTGTGGCTGAAATGCAATTTTTTATATGCATAAATTTTGTTCCGGTTAGTTTAGTGTACATGCTGAATTTATTTTATATTACTATCATGTTGCCATGAATTGGATAATTAAATTTTACATGTTGTGTGTGAAATTTTAAAGCAATTTTTAAATTTACTCAAAATCATGTAAATTTAATAAGCGCACTCCTCCGTCTTTTCACTCAAATGCTGTTGTATTGCAGTTATATTAAAGTTTGTGATATAATAATATAATGTAAATAAATGAAGTAATTTAATACCCAATAAAATTGTCATATATTTGGTTAAAGTATTATGTACAATTACAATTTTTCTCGGTGCTATTCGCGCAATATCACTTTGGCACTGTTCCAGTATTTTTATTGAAATGTATATCATGTTTTCGTATAAATGTTTAGCAATTGCGAAAAATAGTACATGAATAATACATTTGATAACTTTCTATTTCAATTTTCTATACCTCAAGTTATTTATTATTAATTAGAATTATTGTGCACAGAACTTTAATGCAAAACATATTATTCATCATTTACCATATATGAATGAAAATACCATTAACAATGAACGCGATTCATGAAATAATATTTAACGAAATATTTATTCTGGTTCGTAAAAAAATTCCTTGAAAAAATAATAAATAAAAAACTAGTTATGTATTAAAGCAATTTATTCAATGTTTTTAAAAATTAATAAAAAAGTCAATTATTATCAAACATGATATCACAAATATTTTGAATAACTATGTATAATTACAATAAAAATAGACTTCAATGAATAAATCTAAAATATTTTGTTTTAGATTCATTAATATATTAGGTTTTGGTTCCTTTAACGAACACGTAGTAAATTTTGTGTTACGTTTTCGCTGTCTCTTCAATATTTTCTATATTTGTAACATGACAATTATCTTCGTCCTCGGAAAATTTACAAGTTATATTGTATCCTAAAACTTGGAGCTTTAGGGAATCGTCACTATATCGTTTGCGCTTGTAAACCGACCGAGGATCCGCTTTCAACACATCTGATATAGATCTAATATCGCAAGCAAACTTTTCAGCTTGTTTTATAGCCGTTTCTGAATAAGTAACATTAAGGGTAGCTTTCCGGTTGATCCAATCCGGAACGAACACATCAACATTTTCATCCAGATTTTCTTCGACCATACAAGGATTATCATAACGTGGTATATACGGTTTTATATCAATTACCGGGGTCCCATCTATCATATCGACACCGTAAAATTCTATCGAAGATTCCGAAATATTTCCAATACGAACTAAAGATAATCCAATTGGATTTGGCCTGTGGGGTGATCTGGAACTGAACACCCCGACCCGAGCACCATCCAATCGAGGAGGGGCTACTTTGGCATGGGTTGTGGTCTCAGTCTCGTGGAAGTGGAATATTATCCACATGTGGGAAAATTTTTCGAGGCCCTCTAACGAATGGTTATTGTTTGTGAAGAGATTGGGAGTGAGGATGATTTGTCCTTTGACTTCGCTGGCAATTGTCGGTTGTCTTGGGGTACCCTTCTTGTTAGGAAAACTAGTTTTTATTATTCCAATATACTTTATATCGAGATCTGCAGGTAATTTGGAAGTGCTTGGAACTGCAGCATTTGCAGCATTGGAATTTTTGCATTCAGAACAAGTCCAAGTTTTGATGCCCTCATAAATTTTATCAATGTCCTTTTTATACCCTCTAGTAAAATTATTCATTTTTTCCCGCAAATTTTTGAGTTCGGATCTTGCAATTTGGAGTTGTGATCGCAATTCTGCTATTTCATCCATTTTGGAGTTATCTGACATAGTTTATATTTTCATATAATTACCATAATAATTAGTACTGGTAAATATGAATTTATATTCTTATTCGGCTTTCGGATATATTTTGTTTACTAATAACCTAAAAATCCATCTAACATTGACGTCAAATAGTGGACGACTGACAGAAATTCGGCTAATAGATATCACACGTGCGCAGAACATGATGCGCACATGTGTTCATACATCGCACCGTGGCGTTGTTTTCTCGGTCTTGTGCGCGAAATTTAAAACTTATAAGAAAATTGTATGTTTTAGCTATAATGATATTAATAATTTTAGTAATTCCTATATACCAAAATCTTTTTAGACGCTTTGAAAATTAATATTTCGTTTATCTATTTTACCAACGTGCTAAGAATACAAACGTATAGATTTTTTTATAAAGTTCTTTTTATTTTCTAGGTTTTATTAATTATCCAATAGTTAAAATTTGCTAGTATTTTTATCTATATTTGAAAGTGTTTTCCATTTTTAGTGGAGATCATCAAATATTATGCTTTTTAACTTCCCGTAGGGTAAGTTATAGTAACAGGCCGAAAATCGAAATTGAAAATTTTTGCATATCTTCAGGTTTTGAAGGTTTCTGAACATTTTGGCATACTTGAGAAAAAATTGATGTGTGTGTGTTTCGTATGCCCGCATTTTTTCGTCCACGTTTTCGGACGCACGGATCAACCGATTTGAATGGTTCAAAAAACATTAGATTTCTATTGATAGGGAGATGTGCTGATTTGAAAAAGGCAGTTCCAGTCGTTACGGAGATACGGAGCAAAGAATGTAGAAAAATCCAAAGATCCAAAAAACTTTCTGCTTGTTTTGACCAGAATAATTGCTTTTGAAAAAAAATATTAAATTTTTTTTTCTCAAACTTTTTTTCAAAAAACAATTTTTTTTGTACATCGAAAATAATCTAGATTTTAATTTTATTTCTGGCTGAAGTCCTAAAGCTGAATTATATACTTTAAATAAATATTTTAACTTTTTAATTCAGTTTATATGATTCTTATAAATATGAAACAATATTATAGTATTTATAATAATCTATATATGAATACTATATATCAAACATTTCGTTACGGTACAAGGAAGTTCCAGCAAATTGCCTTAAGGCACGATGCCATACACCGCTAGTTAATCATTTAAGTTATCGATCATATTAAATTAATAAATCGAGTCATAGGCTCAACAATCTACTTCTTATATTTATTGTCATACGAGTGGGTAGTAATTAAATTTTGATTTATTGTGTTTCATCAAAAATATTTGCAGGTTTCATACATAAAATTTTGATTTTGCAAGATTATTCAATCTTGGGAGAGAAATATTATATAATATGATTTTTACTGTGTATGATTTCTATTTTTTAATCACCCAAATCCATTACATTTTTTTCAAAAATAATCAAGTATATATATTGGACATAAGATAATCAATATTATATACATAATATGACTTTTTCTCAAGTGATATTAAATACAAATAAAATAGCTGCATAATCCACAACCGCCTTACAGGATTCAACATCTTTGTACAAATAATCTATATCGAGCGTACTCGAGCGTTAAATCCTACTTAAATCTGCGTTTCATAAGATTAAGTTTGCTACACTATATATGTATAACCCGTATTATGAGATCTTCAAATAGTTTATCATAGAGTTTAGCTCTGTTGAAAATATTTGCTCAGTACTTGCGAAAATCTGTGGGAAATTTCACCGAACTTTTGAGTATGTTTTCACATGCATCTCCCGCAATAGTACTTCAAAAGTTACATAGTAAATTAAAGTTTACTAAATAATTTACATATGAAATGTATTACTTAGTTTCATTCACAATGGTTGCATGTTTATAGAATGAAAATTATTGTTTTTTTTTTGTACTGATGATATAGTTCTTATTATCAAATGTGAATTATTGCACTAACATATTTAAAAGATAAGTAAAATGTTTATGATTTATAACATTGTTTATAACAAGTTAAGAATTGTAACATTCTAGATCCTCCCCCCACGAAGTAATGCCTAGCGGCGGTTTCCGTGGGGACCAGAGGCAGGGGCAAAGCGGAGGTTTTAGTCGGCACTAACATATTTACACGATTCGAATTTTACTCATGCTCAATCGTGTATCCAGCATTTCATTTTTTAGAAACAGCATTATTTTATTATTTATCGCTATCATTATTTTCAGTATAATAGACGTGCAGTATCTCTTTTTACTAAGCGTGTTCGTGGTATTTTTCTGCGAAATTGTTGAGAATACACTTCGAATTTGCATTTGTGCTCCATTGCAAGTCAATTTATTAAATGAAGACTATATGGGCTGTTTTGTTCATAATCAATATGAAAATCCAAAATATAGTATACCATCCGTCATGATGAATTTGGTCTGGAAAAATATGGTTGTCATAGCTGAACGAGATCCTGTACAAAGAAGTTGTCTGTTTGCTATCGATCCACAGAGGAATATGCCAATTTTTTGGTCAGGTACATATATAAAATGCTAATTTAAAAAATAGTTTTTGCGAAAAATTAATTATATTTAGGGTAATGCAGTAAATTTGGTACTAAAACGAAATTACTGTGGTATGATCAAATTCTGTAAAAAAAACAGTTGATGAAAATCTGACAGATACGTACTTGTTTTTAAAAGAGTTTAAGAACAAACATTAAATGTAGTATATTTTATTACGACATTAAAAAATTTTGGATCCATTTGTGAAAAAAAATATTTTCATTTTCATTTTATCCGTGAAATTATTCAAACTTTTACCCTTTACGAATTTCAGATTTCACTTTACGTGACGGTGATCATTCGTGTTTTATGCATGATTTGAGTTTGAAATATTTATTTTTTTCGGTTGACTTCGTCCCAACTCCCAAGCATGTTACACGTCGAATGTAATATTTACAATTTTTTCGTTTTATATGTATGACACATCTCGATAAATATAGATGACTTTAACCTATACTGAATGTAAGAAAACTTAATTTTGTTGCACAAGTTTTTAACTATTTTATCTTTGGCCACTGTTCATTAAAGTTTTCCATTAGGATCGTAATGAAGATAGTCGTTTCCTTGATTACAAGGATTCACAAGAAAACAAATCTCAATACAGGGATTACAAAGGAAATTAAAAATTAATTTTACTTATGTCAGCCTTTTGGTTTTTTCATTTCTTATCACTATTGAATAATGTTCCAGTTACTTCAAATCTTAGACAATTCAGCAAAGATTTCTTGATTTTTACTACCATTGCAACGAACATTCAATGGACTACATCAGAGAAACTTTTCATTTAAAAAACTTTTTTAATTTCGTGTAGAGTTCTTTGAGGAGTAGTCTAGGGGGATATATTTAATAGAAGGTGACCAAATATTTTTTATTGTAATTGAAGTTTTGTATTGAAGTTTTGTATTATAGTAAGTAATATTAGAATAATATAATATGATCTGAAAAAAATATAATCCTTATAACCTTATTCTTTTTATATTTAATCAGACTTAATGAGGTATTCATTATCACTGATCGAAGGATATAGTGAGAGTTTATGCAAGTTGTCCCAGAAAGTTTATTGCCTGTCCAGGGGTAACCTTAAAACTTGCAAACCTGAACGCAACAGATTTCAAACCAATAGGCGAGTTTGCCGCTGTTCTGGGGTCGACGAGATACCAGGAGGTTATCCGAAAAAGACCGTCACAACGAGGAAAGTTAAAATTGAAAATATGAATTATTTTGAACAGGTAATGTACTAACAAAACATATCTGTTTTTGGTATAAAATTTTTATGAAGTATTTGCATTAAAACCTATTAACGAGTTAGTATTAAACCTATTAATGCGTTAATACAATAATTTTGTGCTGGTGAGTGTCCATAATTAAAATTTATTTGTCTCAATGTAGCAAATGTAATTGATTTAAAATCAATTTTAATACAATTTTTATAACTTCATAGTATTTCTAAAGTTTTTATTTATTGACGTTGAGTTAGGTGTACATGGAACATATCCCACATATTTCTGGTGAAGTAACAAAATACATTAGTGTGTTCGCCACTGCGCGTGTCGAGTAATAATTAAGTCTAAACATTTCCAAGTTTATTAAAATTACCAAAGTATATAATGTTGTTCTCCTCTGTGAAGCATTATATATAGCTTGGGAGGTTTCAGAACTTTCTTATATGAACTTTTGCAAAGCCTCGGAACTTCAAAAACTTTTTAAAAGTTGTGTTTTGTAAATTGATGGATTAAATCAAGCTTGAAATTCTTTAAAATACAGTAGGTTATATATAAGGGCATAACCTTATAATACTTTGGCAAATAACTATAGAAACGTAAAAACATTTATTTAACTATATATAAATAATAACTATATATATATATATATATTATATATATAATATTGCATTTAATGTGTATTTAGGTTTATACTTTTGAAATTAGAGTTGTTATTACAGATGGCATGATCAATATGCCAGTCGATCAGTATTTCCTATTTAATCAAAAAAGTTTTCCTTTGAAGCTGGAAATTCAGAATTGAACTATGTTAAAGCTATTAATGATTATCATATTGCTAATTATATGCCAGTTAAATTAAACTGCATAATGTCATAAAATTATCAACAATTATGACGGAATGGACGAAGATTTTAATTTGTTTGAAGACCACTTAATAACTTTCATGATTTGAATATTTTGATGATCGTCTTTTATTTAAACGACTTAAGTAACTGATTGATAGGATTAATATGATTAGTATAAACCATTCATTTTACTTTTATTTTTTATTTGTCTAGGCAAAAGAATTAAAAATAAATACACAAAAAAGTAACTCCTTTCAAATAAGACTTATTATAAAACAAGCGAAATGTGCTTTGCTCATTTGTAATGCAAATTTTCAACTTATTTCATATTCATATATTATATTTCTTAGCCTTTTCTACACTTGCTTTTCGTTTGTTCCACATACGAATTATATTTCAGACAAATGTGTTTTATTTACCCCATCTTATGAAGGTTAAGGTCTTGTATTACACCCTCCTTATACTTAGAGCATTCATCATGGCTGATAAATGAGTAAATTTATATGTATATTCTTGATA